TGTATTAAAACAATAATACATAATATATTCAAAATAATAATAATATTATTTTTAATGATCCAAAACACAGTGTTATTCAAAATCCTATGGAAACTAAAAACAATAAAAAACTTATAATATATTTCTTCATAAATTATTTGTTAATTGAATACAAAATTTTTGCGTTAAAAATACGTGAAAATATCCCGGAAGAGAGAGAGAGAGAGAGACTTTCCTATTACTTTCCGCATTGCAAACACTTATTATTAAAAATATGTTTTGTACAAAAATAATTTGGCTTGATAATTTATTATCTATTATAACAGTATATTTAATGCTATTTTTATTAATAATTTCAATTTACTGAACAGAAACTTGTTTTCATTCAATTAATATAAATATAATATTTTTTCGACAATAATATAAATTTAAATAATAATAATAAACAACAAAAGTGTTTCAGAAAATTGAAAATATTATTTATTAATTATATAAATATCTATTTATAAGCTATTTTTAACGAGCCTTTGGTTATGTATTAACACGTTTTCATAGTTATATACAAATGCTTTATATCCGAGAGAACCGGGAGTTTATTAAAACAATAATACATAATATATTCAAAATAATAATAATATTATTTTTAATGATCCAAAACACAGTGTTATTCAAAATCCTATGGAAACTAAAAACAATAAAAAACTTATAATATATTTCTTCAGCTATTTTCCAATGAATGCATAATATATTGCGGTTTTTGAAAAAAACCGTTTCAATGAACCGATAAAAAGCAAAATAAGTTCATTAAAACTAAATTGCATTCAAAAAATCACAATTCATTGTATGGATGATTGAGTGAATGGCAGAGAGAGAGAGAGAGAGAGAGAGAGAGAGAATATTAAATAAATTTTAATAATAAACTAAATTAGAGAGAGAGAGAGAGAGAGAGAGAGAGAGAGAGAGAGAGACTAATTTATATATGTAATATTTTAATGTACGCTTTCTAAAAAATATTTGTGTAATATATTGCCATAAAATCATCCCACAGTCCCCGGGAGAGCGCCCCTACAAACAGCACTCCCACACCTCTCATACATATATGCATAATATAATTGCAGTTTAAATATGTTCAATGTAAATTATGTCTATGTAAATATCATATACATGTACATACTGCCAAAAATACACTACAGTATACATTGCATAATAGGATCTCGTTTCTATTAATGTGTACCAGTAATTCAATCAGTAGTCAATTTTTGTCTAACTTTTGTTTGAGTTTTCAATGAACTCATTCATAAAAATCATATTTCAGAGACATCCCTATTGTTATGGTATATGAGAGAGACTATAATCTCATTAACCAACTGAATAAACATTTAATTTTGTTGAGAGAATAATATGTGAAAAATAATTTATAAAAATAATTACCACAAGAATATGGCTGTCATTCAACGAGAGAGACGTTTGTTAATGTTTTTACAAATTATTTGACATTAAATATATGTCGAGTTTGATTGCTGTCAATACAAATGCAATAAAACATTTATTTTGTAAAATACTATTTAAATAACGAGAGAGAGAGAGAGAGAGAGAGAGAGAGACTGCAAAAGAGATGTGCATTAATTAAAACGTTATCTAAATTAGCAAAATATATCATCCGTTATATTATCCGTTAAATCTATGAATAAAATAAAACTACAATCAAAAACAAAACAACAAATAAAAACTAAATCAGATCTTAATGACCCCCATAAGTCTTATGATGGGTTTTATATGTGTTAAATCTAGTTGGTTTTTTGATATGCAACCCATCTTAAGTATACTACTTTCCACTTTGACCCGGTTTAGATATATGGTTGTAATTAATGTAGTGCCTAATACTATCATTGTAAAACAATGTATAAAAAATTGTGTTAAATAGTAAATAATAAACGCCTAAAAGTTAATTTAGTTTACTTTAAAACTGATTTATATGTAAACATTAAAAGCATAGCATTTGCTAAATATTCTCTCTCTCTCTCTCTCTCTCTCTCTCTCTCTCATTGAATACACAACTAATAAATTATAGATTATTTAAATTATAGCACAGAATATATTAACTTAAATACATTTTCTACGCGAAAATACATGAATGAATGGCTGAATACACGGCTATTAATCATAAAATCGATAATTGAAAAACATTTTTGATTTTATTTTGTGAAAATCTTTTTTGTTTTACTTTTTTCTTAAATCTTAACTCAAAACCAAACGAAATAATAAACACAAAAATGTAAAAATATATTCAAACTCTAGGCTATAGATTGCACTAAAAATATAGTTACAGTATTATTAAGAACTGATTTATTATTAAGTTTTTCATTCAATTCCTCTTTTATTTTCTTTAGAAAAAATTATTTGTTAATTGAATACAAAATTTTTGCGTTAAAAATACGTGAAAATATCCCGGAAGAGAGCTATTGGGGAGAGAATAAGAGAGTGAGTGAGGAGAGAGAGAGAGAGAGAGAGAGAGAGAGAGAGATGATTATGTTTAGTAACTTTCTAGCAAAATAATTTATTATTATTTTAATGAAGACTTTCCATAGAGTAAACTAAAAATTGAATGAAAGTCGTGGAGAGATAAGTAGAAAATATTTTCCAGCATTTAATAAATGGTTAATTGAATGCAAAATATGTTATTTTGCAAAGAGTTTTGTTATGAAAAAATACGATTAAATTAATTTTTGTCTGACGTTTGAATGCATAACAAGTTTCGCGTGATTTGAATGACATTTCTCTCTCTCTCTCTCTCTCTCTCTCTCTCTCTCGCACTTAATATTTCAAATTAAATAACAATTTTTTGATTGCATTTTTAATAATGTATTTTATTTTTCTCTCAACCAATAGATTAAAAATCAGGTCTGAATTCATTGAATAGTGATATAAATTAATTGAGATTTTTAATTCGCGGGAATCTATTAATCAATATAATAAATAATATATATTTATTGAAAACCTATTTCACTATAGACTATAAACAACAGGATACTGTGTATGTTTAAAAAGCACATATATTTGTGAAAAATCTATGTAAAAAAGGTCAGAGTGCTAATTGAGATATAATATCCCAATTCACACACTTATCATGTGTGATATTTTTTGCATATGATTTACATTTACGACATTATTTGCATACATATTGAAGACATTGACATTATAACCAATATTATACCGTAAATCTAATAATAGCTGATTTGTATACATTTTTAACCTTTTTCATTATTCACTACAACACAAAACACTTAACATAAAATAATTTAGTTTATTATTAAAATTTATTTAATATTCTCTCTCTCTCTCTCTCTCTCTCTCTCAAACAACACATGATATAATTGCTAAGCAATTGTATGTAAAAGTATTTTTCATTTGTAATCCATAAGGAATTTATGTCTGAAATGAATACCTAAATAAATATTTGTTAATTAGGTTTGTATTTATCGTAATAAAAATAATACTATTAGTGATAATAAATACTTCTATTGTAGATATGAAACATGTATTCAAAACTTTATGTTTGTTATGCCATTAAAAGGCATATATCAAGCAATTTAATCGCTATATTGGCTGTCAGTTAGTGTACAATAATATACATGTTTTATATTTCAGATCAAACCCAGAGATTATCGCAACAAATATTTTCTCTGACATCAGATATCATTGATTTTAATACTAAAAGTTTTCATAAACTTAATATTCAAACCAAATACAATCAATAGGGCTGTCGATAGCGATAAAATTCACATAGATTTTTGACATTAAACACACATAGTATGTCACATACACAACAATAGTATACTTAATAACGTAATAATTTAGTTATATTGGTGGTAATCCCTACCTATAAATATAATACCTTAATAAAAACAATAGTTATTATTAATAATCATCATAACTAATAATAAATATGATTTAAAGCCTACTTTATATCCTATTTCTTATCACATGTTATATCAGATTTGGAGGAATGCTGTGAACAAAAATGTGTACTTAAGATATAACACATTAAGGCTAAAAACAATATTGTATTTTCATTCATATCTCAAGTGATAATTCAGTCCTTCAAACCATACAATCAAATAAAACAATTTCACCGGCAGGGGGTCAAGACCCTGGTGCTATTTTCTAGCCCTACTATTTGCCCTACATCAAAGTCAAGGGAGTGCTATATGTATTTGCTATGGGGTTAATATTTATACTACATTTTAAACATTTTTAAAAAATATAAACCGATTTTCCCCTTAAAATCAAACACTTATACAGTATTTGAACCAAATATTTCACTACAACTCTATTATGGGTTTAAATATTAAACACAATTTTTGCATAAGACTTATGAAAAATGTGTTTTTATCATAATAAATGATTCATTTGACACAACACTAGTTAAGTGACAGTATTTGATTATTTAGTAAAATTTGTGATATCTAAAAATAATTATAAACTATTATTTTTTCGCTGGCAAAATGTCTAAATTAATCATATGTTTATGTTCAACATTTATATATAAATTTTAATTCAACACGTATTTCGCAATTTCCAGTAACAAATTATAAAATATAAGACTTTTATGATGAAAAATGGTAAAAGCTGTCTTATTAAAATTGAACTAGCTGGTTCCGGAATGTAAATTATGATGATATTTGTGGTGAATTATGCAACAAAAAGGGACCAAAATCTGGTGATTTGTGATGTTTTGTTTATAGAAAGAACTTTATTATTATGCAATTATCTGCTTATCTGTAATTACACTTTCAATGAGAGGCCTCTCAATGAGACTATTACTGAATACATGATTGCAATGGTTAGTGAACTTAAAATCTTATGTTCTTTTGTCAATTCATCACAAAATTATTTAACAATATTTGATTCAATTTAAATGAAAAATAATTTAATTTCTACAAAAGTGTCGCTCGAGTCTAAAGAGTGTAATATTTGCTTAATTACAAAGTTTAAACATGTTAATTAAAATTTGTAACATAATGAGTTGAACATGAGCTCATCTCATGTAAAAATCTATTTAGTTATATTTTATAAATCAATGCATATTTGAATAATTGCAATCATTGAATATTTTGTGCATGCATTAATTATAATTGCTAAATATAAATAAATATTATAAATGCCACACAATAAGAGTTACACCGGAATCATAATCATAACTACAAACATCATTGACTCGTACAACAGGTACTACGTGTGAGTATAGTGTTGTCCGTTAATTTCAATATCACACACAGTTAAGGGGAGTCAAGCCAAGTGTTTCCCCGTCGGGACATCCCTTCCCCTAACAATATGTTTAATTTGGATGCTTTTCATTGATTATTATTTAAATATTAATATTTAGACATTGAGATGAATAATAAAACGGCGATCGGTTGGAGATGTTTGACGGCACGGGTCAGACACTCGTCGTCACAAAATCAGTGCATTTTGAATGAAATTAGCGGTCGTTTCGACTTCGAGACCATCAATGCTTTGATGGGTTCTTCGGGTTCGGGAAAGACTACACTAATTAAGTGCTTAAATGCCAGCAATAGATATGAATTGAGTGACAAAAGTGAAATATATGTGAATAAAAGTGTGAAAATTGTTTCGTGTTTTATATCTCAAGAACAAAGCGATTCATTAATCGGAGGATTGACTGTAAAAGAGGCACTTCTTTATGCCTATGGAGTGAAGAATAGTTGCCATAAATTTGGTGTAAATGAAAGAGTGTTTGAATTAATGGATGAATTGTTGTTAAGAGATGTTTGCGATAATCGTATTGAGAGGTGTAGTGGAGGCGAACGGAAACGCATTGCTATAGCATTGGAGTTGACATCAGAGACGGCGGCGAATGTCATGTTTCTCGACGAACCGACCACTGGTCTCGACAGCAATGCCGCACATATTGTATGTATATTAGTGGAGGCGAACGGAAACGCATTGCTATAGCATTGGAGTTGACATCAGAGACGGCGGCGAATGTCATGTTTCTCGACGAACCGACCACTGGTCTCGACAGCAATGCCGCACATATTGTATGTATATATTTATTACATAATATCAATACAAATTATTGTTTGTAATGCATTGTTATCCTGGTAATATAAACAATAATTAATTATAATTTAAATATTTTAATTTTAGTTAATCGAGTGTTTGAAAAATTTAGCTAAAACTCACAAAATAGCTGTCATTACAAGCATTCATCAGCCGAGCAATGAATTGTTTCATATGTTTGATAGCATTTATGTTTTAGCCAAAGGAGGCTTTTGTGTCTTTGACGGCAAACCTCAACATTTGGCTCAATATCTGAATGAATGCCAAATTGAATGCAATGAATACGAGATTCCTATTGAAGTGTTGTTAAAGTTATCTCAAGGAATAAACAGAGAAAACCTTAAGAAATTAAATGCAAAACATTTACAAACAAATGAAGACAATTGTACGGAAGAAATGTTACAAACAGTGAAAGGCATTCAATCAAAACAGAAATGCTTTAAATTAGTAGATTTATGGATAATATTCTGCAGATTCTTGAGAATTACATTCATAGGAAACGGATACAAACTATTGAGACAAATGGTTATATTTTTCATATTTCATGCAATTATGGCAATAGTTTTCAAAGAGAATCTCTCATTAGTCGACGGATGTATTGAATCCATTGAAGACATGACTTGTATTGAAAGAGAAGATAATAAAAGGATTTGGCAAAAGAGCGTAAACTATATCCATATATCGCTTCTCATATCGTTTATAATTAACACATCAATTATGACAAATAGTTTTGCCACTGATTTCAATGTATTTTTACAAGAATATCGTAACCGTAAGAAATAATAAAAAGTATTACTTAAACATGATTATTTGAAAAATTCTGTTTATCAACAGACTGGTACAATTCGGGTGTATTTTTTTGGTCAAAAACATTTGTCGACTCATTATTATCATTGATATCTTCCATAATATATTTGTTAACCATTTATTGGGTTTATTATGATTTAATAGATTTGCAAAGAATTTTATATTTATTTTATGTGATATTTGTGTCAATGCTTTGCAATCAAACAATATCTTCAATATTTGGCATAATATTTATAAAACACAAGACTTTATCCCTCACTGTATCGATAGCAGTGATGTTTGCACTAATCAATTATGATAACTATGCCATACGTTTGGATGATATGAATGAGATGTTGAGGTTTTCCAGCAATTTTTCATATATTAAATACACATTCAATTCAATATTGTTATTAATATATGGCTTCAAACGATGTAAAACTGAAGGTCTATCTGAAGTATTATTAGAATATAATATAACTGATGGAAGTTTACTCATTGATTACATGGAAAATATTATAATTTATTATGTAATAATATTAGTTATTCAGTATATAATCTTTAGATTAAAAATTATTTCAACAAATTTTATATATAATATTATAAGTTATTTTAGGACGCAATCGGAACTTAAAAATTGTGATAAAAACTCAGGAATTTATATTGGTTTAAATAAACAGATAATTAACACTGAATTAAACAACGATCACGATACATTATTAATTTGTTGGATTAATTTATCAGTAAATATGAAAACTAGAAAAATAAATAAATTTCAATCAATAAATATTTTAAATAACATTAGCGGAGGGTTTGAAATGAAAAGCTTGAATGCATTGATGGGTCCGTCAGGTGTGGGAAAGACAACACTTTTAAAGTGTTTGAACGGAGAATATAATCATTATTTGAGCGATGAATCAAAAATGTATTCGAAATTTACAAATAGTGGTAAAAATTGTTTTGTCGCTCAAAATATTAGTGAACATCTTTGGAGTGGATTATCAGTAAAACAATCACTACTTTATGCCTCAAAACTGAAGAATTCAAGATATGATCAACATTTGGATCACTACGTGATTATTGAGAACTTGATGTCTGAGCTGTTGATCAGTGATATCATTGACAATAGGGTTGATATGTGTAGTGGAGGCGAACGGAAACGTATAGCCATTGCTTGTGAACTGACGGCTCAAAAAAGACCTGATATGTTATGTATTGACGAACCGACGAGTGGTTTAGATAGTTGTGCGGCAATTAATGTATGATTTGTGTATTTTAAGCTCAATTTTAATAATAATTATTAATCTTAATTTTTATTAATTTATCAGATAATTCAATGTCTTAAATATCTATCAAATATTCATGACATGACAATTATAGTAAGCATTCATCAGCCAAACAATGAATTGTTTCATATGTTTGATAACATCTATGTTTTGGCCAAAGGAGGCGTTTGTGTGTTTGCCGACCGACCGAAACACTTAAAGCAAACCCTTATTAATAATGACATTAAATGCGATGAAAATCAGATTCCAATCGAAGTATTACTAGAAATCGCTTCGGAGGGCAAAAGTGATGCAATTATTGAACAATTATGTGAACAACAGTTAAATCAACGAAACATATTGTATGAGAAAATACATTACGAAAATATGCAAACCTATGAAACAAACCAATTATTGTTTAAGCGCTTTATTTTTATGGATTTTTACAGTGTTTTAAAGCGAACAATGATTTATACATATGTTTCTAATTGGAAATCATTATTAATTTTGTGTACTATTTATCAAATATTGGGCATAAATTTATTGATCAGTTATAACAGTGATATCATTAAACCCAACGCTTGTCTTGAAGTGGACTTCACGTCAGGAATCGCTTGCAATAAGACAATTGAAAAATTATTGGAAGAAACTTATATTCAAATGAACTTAAAGTATAGCATTTTAGTCGCGACTTCTATAATGAGTGTTGTATTAGTGGTTATGTCCGCAACCTTTTGCATCGATATTCCTATATTTAATAGAGAGCATCGAAATGGTATTATTATATTTTTATTACATTACATTTTTATTATCAACTCATGAGAGAGAGAGAGAGAGAGAGAGAGAGAGAGAGAGAGAGAGAGAGAGAGAATTTCTGTAATTTAATTAATATGTGTGATATTATTGATAGGTTGGTACAGTTCTGGCGTTTATTTCTTGGTTAAAACATTGGTTGATATGATCCCAATTGTCATATCTTTAGTGCCATTTTGTTGGATATTAAACTTATATAAATCACGTAATACTTATTTAATATATTATTTCTCTATTTTGCTTTCCTTACTATCGGCGCAAAGTTTGGCTCAAATATCGGCAATAATTTTCAATAAAGACATCAGAACTTCTATAACAGTTTCGATTGGGTTTTTGCTAACCGACTCCATATTCAACAACACTATCATATCTTTCAATGATTTGCATTATAGTCTACAATTGATGAGCAATTTATCGTTTGTAAAGCCCGCCTATGAGTGCATTGTTATTATGATATACGGCTTTAACCGGTGCTCTGACAGCAAGATATCAACAGTTTTATACGCCATGGGTTTAACTGATGATGACTTTTGGCCAAATATTCTTCATTTAATATTTTTGGCTATACTTTACAAATGTGTGACACTTTTTATATTTATTATTAAATTTAATAATTTATCCGTTGATAGAAAGGAGAATACATTAACGATAGAGAAATATAGAGAAATTCAAAATACTGTTTAAAAATTATTTTATGTAATTAACATATCTGTTTAAGTAAATATTAATTTATTCACAATAAAAATCTAATTAATTATATAATTTAATTGGAAAGAATTATATTATTAATCAGGAAAATGAACTGTTAAAATTCTATCAAATAATAGTTGCTTGTTAGTTTTTAAATTTAGACATTTTTATTACCATATTTTTACAAACCATTAAAATATGAATAAAACAATTATAATTATTGGAAAGTGATATAATTATCCACTTTTTACAATCTTGGTAATTGAGCCCAATTTAAAGCCTGCGATCGCTTTTACAGTCAAATGACCCTCATTTGAAATGATAGCCTCCTGACCAGCTTTGCCCCCTTCGGCCGCCACCAGAATCGCATCGGCCGACTCTTTCTCCACAACTGGTTTCACATCTAATTTCAGTATAAATTTTTAGTTTAAGTATAAAAACATTAATTAAGTTTGATTTTGTATACATTTCTCATATAACGGATCTGTAATTGATTTCAATTCTTGTTTTTCATCAACATTTATGGCATTATTTTTTCCGCCTTCAATATAAGCGACAGCGCCGGCACCCAAACCATAAACATTACTTATGTTTACGGCTTTGTTTCCACTCTTAACCAATACAACGGTTCCGCCGATACTTCCGATGCCCTCCAGAATGAGTAGTCCCTCATTATTGGTATTTAATTGATTGACAGATCTTTTAGAGGCTTGAGTTTTGCTCATAAATTCATTCACAGTTTGGTTTGCACTCAATTGGCCGCCAATACTGTTAACAATTTGTTACATATTTAATTATATTTAATAAATATATAATTTACAATTTAATAATATTATAAGACTTAAGACTTTAGACTTACTTTGAAATGATATTATTGGCGATCGCTTCTAAGTCTTGAGTCGATTTCGCTGACACCAGAGTTATTGACAAAATTAATGACAATATTATTTTCATTTTGATTTGTATTTAGTTACAACTTATTTACTATTGAATTATATGTATTTTTCAATTATTGTTTCAATGATTTTTATTTTAAAAAATGATCGGTTTATATAGGAATTAAAGTGGAGAAAAGTTAAGTAGACTGACTGAAATATATGATGATAATCGGTTATTAAGCACAAATGCCCTGGTGAATCAGTTATTTAAAATAATTAAAATCTTTAATCAAGTGCCATAATAAGTAAATAAAGTGTCTGACATGTGTTTATTTATTAAAGTGTTTCACAATTGGTTTGTAAGAGTATTGTGTGATAAAAATATCTTATTTGTTCAAAACAAACAATTATGTTTAAAGAGCAATAAAATTATTATTATTTATTACAGCATTAATAAATTACTAAAAAACAATTATTAAACTATCAAAACAAACAAAACAAATAATAACTGTTAATCACAAAATTGTACAAAATTTTAATTTATTTATGGTCTATTAATGATTAATTCTTAACTTTAAAATGACCATGTTAAGAAGTACCAGGTTATTGAATTGACAGCGATTATATAAAACTTTTTATAAGTCATTGAATTGTTGTAATCAATGCGATTGAATGATAACCCATAAGTACCTAATTTTACAATTGTATTGAATATCTCAGAAATTATTGCATAATTTAAAAGAAATATATTGTTTGACATAAATAAACAAAAATATATTTATTTATATTTCTAAGTTAAAGACTTTTAATTAAGATAAACCTAAAGTACTTAATCAAATTAATATAGTTTTATACAATTTAAGGTAAACTTTATATTTCATCTGTTTATGAAATTTTGAAGGCAATGTATTAATGAAATCAATTATCATAAATGTCTCTTTTGTCTAAACAAAAGTATAAATACAGAAAGAAAATCACATTTTTAATAACAATAATTAATTTGACAATTGTTTTTATAATTAACATAAAATAATTTGTTAATAAATCAGATGAAAATGAATATATTTCTAACTTTATTGGTTATCGTAAGCATCTCTTCAGTTGTTGTCACCGCTGACACAGAATTACAACAATTCGCACAAAACCTCATTTCATTGTAAGAAAATGATACAAATAATGTGTAAAATTATTAAAATTAATATTACTATTATTCTATAGACTGAATCCAAACGGAGCCGACATTAATACCAATAGTCTTCTCATTCAATTAGTAAACGGTTTGTCTGATAATTGTTAAAAATATTTTGAACACTTATTTCAATAATTAATTTGTATAATGAAATCCCAGGCAAACATTCATCGCTCGGTTCATTAGTGGGAGAGAATTCAGAGCACAGTTTCAAACTGAACGTATCGTTTGCCGGTGTTATCGGCGTTAGTGTCCAACGAAATGATGACAATCCGATTGAGTTGTCGAGTGAATACTTGGGAGGTCTGGCCATACGGGCGAACGCTAACCGATCCAATGCCATAGAGTTTGACGCTAACAACAAACCCGTTAACCCTTTCCTCAAGAATATCTACGAAACAAGTAATTTATTAATAAATATTTAGTCAATTAATCAAATTATAATAAGACATTCATTTATCTTTTATGAAAATTAGATGAAAACTCACAAAAATCTGTGTCAGACAACGAGATCGCCGTTTTGGTAGCGCACGGGTCAATCACTGGCGCTGAGATTAGAGCTAATAATCGCACACTTGATAGCAGTTTAATCGGAGGTTTTGTTGTCGGAGCCAAGACTAGAATTACCACAAAATAGTATTATTATAAAAAAGGCATATTTTAATAATTATTGCAATTATTATACAGTAAATTGTGGATCATATGTTATTAGTAATAACATTTTGTGATTAATTATTATGCAAGTAAATAAAATTTTATTAAAATAATTGTTTTAATAATTATTAAAATATAATTTTCAAATTGAATTCAGTACAAAACAATTAATTTAAAATTTCATTTATTTATTTGGAAAATATAATTAATAGCTATTTTAAATTAGAATTAAAATTTTAAATATAATTTTGCTTAATTAAAAAATTATATAAAACACAATATTTATGTTAGCTTTTATTACATAATAAATAGTAATTAAAAATAACAAAGAGCTGTCAGTCATTCAAAATTCATTGTATACTAAACCTCTTCTCGTGAATTTACTTGTTAGTACCGTACTATTAATTAAATCTACCAATAATTTTAATTATAAAATCTTTAGTATACAGATCTTTTGTATTTTAAAGTTACATTTAATTTATTCTTTATAATATTTTATTCCATTTTTATTTTGACGGAATGGAATTTTTGCTGCAATACAGGTTAAATATACAAATATAATTGTAATTTACAATTTACGTACATTATAATTTACAAATATAAATAATACATTATGTTATATCATAAATTTATTTTGCCCAACATTTCTAACAGTGCAATTTTAATATAACTAATAATAAATTTATTAGGAATGTTGGGCAAAATAAATTTATAATACAATATAATGTATTATTTATATTTATAAATTATAATGTTTACAAGGGCAATAAATATTTACATTAAAAAGGACTAAAATTTAGGCTATACGAATGTCAATAAATGTCTATACTTGCTAATATAACATTAACTGTTTTACCACAAAGAAACAATTTGTATTTTGTTTTTCGATTCGTGCAGTAAATTGAAAAATATTTAATATTCAATATTGACTTATTCATAATAATGTATATTATATTTAAATAAAATATTGCATATTTTCATAATAAATAATAAATAAGACATAATATGAATATTATAATCTATTATGCATAAAGTAGAAATAAACATATTTAGATATCATTTGTTAAAATACTATATTTAAGCTTATGTAGCATTTGCTATTTTGCTATACATTTATTGCAAGTATTAGCTCTAAATAGGCAAATTGAAATCAAATAAATAAACATGCTTAAACATTTAAACATTCACCTAGCACAATATGCTAAATTAATATTGTATGCGAACCGCGTATTTGGCATAACATTCAATGGCGTGACTATTGATACAAATAGCGGTAATTCACACCAACGAAACCGTTGGAAATACTTTGGCTATTGTTATACTTTAGTGGTTATTGTGGCACAAATTGGGTCGTCTATGTTCTCAATATACCTATTAATGAGAGCCCATAATATGGATATTATGACATCGTTTGAACTTGTTTTACATACCATAATGCTCTTATGCCAGTGGTACATGAAATTATCAAACATGATCTATTATAACCTATGGGGCTATGATATGATCCGTAAAATAATCATAGAGTTGGGTCCATATTTAAACCAACTTGGCAAAGTCACACATGGTTTGATTATGGTGGTTATACTATGGATGGCACATTTGGTTATTGTGATTACTGGTCTTATTTATACTACTTCAACATTAAAGAACTATGATTATTTTATGGCCATTGTTGATGTCTATCAAACGATCTGGTTCATTTGGCTAACACCATTTGTTACGTGGATAATTTCAATTATGATTGGCATCTTGCTTGATAACATTGCAAGAGATTTGGGCAGGATCAATGGTATTACATTTGAAAGTATAAATAGCCATGTTGTCACAGTAGATACTGAGGGTAAAATTCAATATCTAACATTTAAACAAAATTAATTAGCTATTTTTAAAAAATACACTAAACAAGGTTTTCTCTGATTAAAATCATAAGTAAATCATACTTAAACCAACTTAAACGATCATGTTAATATAAAGGTATCTTTACTTATTTATATCAGGTATCAGATGTCCGATAAAACACCAAATATTAGTTCATAACAAACAACTGACGCTAAAACTTATAAAAACATTGAACACAGTAAACAAATGCCTGACCAATAATCTGATGGCCACAACTCTGGCCTCTGTTGTGACCCTAATGGTCAACATATATCTGGTCACTCACTTTAAAGACAACGATTACCGACAATGTGTGGGCACAGGTCTGGCCCTGTCGTCGGTGTCATCGGCAGTACAACTGATGGTTTCGTGTGTGATATGCGGTTCCGTCGGCCGAAAGTCGGAGAATATAAGAGAAGTGTTGGACGCCGTGAACGGACCGGAGCTGACGGACGGCGAGTTCCGGGAAGTGTTGCTCTTTAAAGATATTGTTAGAAATGGCAGCACATTTGGCTTCACTTTCGGCGGTTTCTTTGTTCTTAACAAATGTGTACTCATTTTGGTAATTGATTTTCAATTGACTTCATTTTCAATAATTATTAACTTCTATTTGTTTAGATGATAGCGTTTTTGGTCAATTATATTGTAATTGTACTGCAATACTAACACTACCGAAACATACAACATAAATATTTAATTGTTGTTTACAATTGCCAGAACACTACTTTACACATCAAATTAGAGTCAAAATAACCTAAAGTGAACCTAAATTATTGAATGTCTAATCCTATAAAACATAGTCTAAATTGTTTATAATACACAAGATTTGTATGATTTACACAACAGTTGTTTCATTAAATTAAAGTAAATTAATGTAAGTTATAAAGTTTTGTTATAATAAGCCCAATAGATTTAAATAAAAGTAAAAGTTATTTTAAATTACAACACATCAAAAACTGATTCTGTACTCAAATAATACACGCACTTCTCAAGTATTGTATTTTTAAATGAAATTCTTTTAGATATATTTTAATTTAGAGCCTTAATCAGAATAAAGTGTCCTGGTATACAATGTACACAATGCGTTTATTTTAATGAATATTTTTATAAATAAAATATTTAAAAATTATTACTGTTGACTAATATTTTTGCATATGTATTCTTTAAACACATTTTACATTATAGAATCTACAAACAAAACTATTGGTAATTTTTATAACATCTCTCTCCTGATAATAATTAATATTTTTTTTGTCAGTGATTTATAATAGCTTGAAATTAATATTTGTTAATGAAATACATACAGTCGAAGAATGCACGCAATTTTATAATTATCATTAATTAACTATGTTTATTATGTTTCCAGACAATTATTCAAACATAATAACTGTCTACTATATTTTAGGTTTGTGTTATAAATTATAAGTAATAACATTGAAAAATTAATAAGATTTTTGTAGTTATATAACAACTATACTAAAACTAACAATTTTTAATAGTACAGTACATTGCAAATTGTATTCAGTGTATGTTTTCAACAAATTCTTTATGGTCAGATGTATTAAAACATATTACAAATTAGATTTTAAATAGATTAAACTGTATTACAGTTCAACCCTAATGTATTGATATTTTATTAATTTTGTTTCATGTGTCTTAAAGCTAATAATTAAATTACGTTACAAACTTAAATTAAATCGCTTAAATATCCAAAATAATAGCAGGCCATTTATTTAAATATAAATAATTACAGCAATTTATAATAATTGTTTTACTGTGATCATGTATTATTCTCAACTAGTACTAGTACAGTACATGGTACATTAGACATTAATCTAATTTAAATTAATACAAGCGAAATACACTATTTGTTTAACAATTCAGTGTAAAGTCTTACTGAGTTTTACAACAAAAAAAACTTAATTCTTCGAGAGTTTTAAATATACATTAGAACTCAATATCAGTACATTTGCAGCGATTACTGCTTAATAATAATCACAAACTTTACGACAATTGTTGCAAACAAAATGCCGCCAAAACGGCAGCAAAACAAGTGGCAAAAGGCCAAACAAAAGATCACCATAAATGCTGTAATCGACTCAATTGATCCGTTTAAACCGCTGCCGAAGACACTGCAAATCCCGGGCGCAGACTGTCATCCCTATCGTATCGGTCTATCGCTGTATAAAAGCAAATCTCCGGTAAAGAGACGAATATTTCACAATCCGTTTGTAGTGTTTGTATTCGCGTTGTCGTCGATTGTGAGGAATCTGTTCTACATCTTTACGCCGGCGACAGATGTCTACTACTGGCCCACTGTTCACGAGTTCCGGCTCTACAGCGGAGACTTTGGCTTCTTTATGGGTATTTCTGTGCCCTTAAACCTACTGTCACTCGTCGTCCACCTATTGGTACTGCTCTCGCAAATCATTAATATCTCCAACTATTTACACCACATTCCGCCGACGGATATGCGGGTGTTTGAGATGATGGCCGGTCTGATGGCTCCGGCGGCCTGCGGTCTGAAGGATCGGCAAATGATTTACAAACTGGTGAACCGATGCCGCAAACTGTTGGCCTTTACGCTATACGTCGTGCCGCTCAACAAAGTGATGGCTTTCTTCTTCGTTGGCGCCAATTATCTGACCAAATGTACGCTCAAAGAGCTGGCGCTGGTTGTGGTGCCGCACACTATGCTGTGGGCCCTCTCGGCGCAGAATGTATTGGGTGTAATCATATGGCAATTCATCTATTACTTCATGATTATCTCGTATCTGAAGATGAAGCTCGAGTTCTTCAACCAGAGTCTGCGGTCACTTATGGTACGTCCCAATAGATCCATGGAAAATGATTTGTTACATCTGTGTCGCGAGTTTGACGCCATTTACGCCGAGATCAGTCTTTACAACCGTATGTATTGGTCAAAGTTCTTGGGCTTGATTTGGCTGCTGATGAGTATCATAATAACATTGTCCGTGTATTTGATTCTAATGCCTGAAGTGAATCTTATAACAAAGGCCTTCTTTGCCTTCTTCTTGATTATATTCACATTCATTTTGCTGTTTATAATACAAATCTCTGCCTCCATATACAAGGAGGCCATGAAATCGTATAAATTGTTTCATTCGTTAAACGGCTCTTATAATTGCCGAGTGTTCATCAAGTTTAAGGTAATTGTATTTTTAATACATGTACTTTAATTGTGTATTAATTGTGTATTTTAATGATTTAAAAATAAATATCAATATAAGTAACTACCTTTCCTAACGGTTTTTCGCATAACCCAAAGTGACAACCTTTGATAAATAATATTGGTCTAAATCCCCTATACTTCATTTGTCATAAAATGAATAAAATGATTTATTTTGATTTATAATTGTATTTTTTTGTCCGCAGATTATATCCTTTATTATAGTGTTGTATTTGAAATCAATCGAGTTCTTTGGATAAACATCATAATTAATTAGTTTTAATAAGATAATTTATAAATTCTTATCTGTTCATGTCTACAACTACTGTACAATCGTACCATTAATATCATGCCATATCTGTATATCATTAATAATGTTCACTATAATTAATTATAATACATAACATAATAATAATAATTAGTTTTTCGTGTAATATATTGCAAATATTAATTGTTAAATAGCTTTACATTCGTAGTCACAATAATATCTTATTAAAATGTTATAACAATTTCACAAAATTATATATTTTTATGAACATTTTTAACATTAAATATTAGACACTTTGAATTTAAATCCAAATCACAAACAAAATAGAGATTAACATTGAAAATATGTCACGAGTTGTTTGTTTCAAGTATTTGCCTAAATTTCAAAGTCACTGAAGTGTATTGTTTGTTAAATGATATTGTCTTCTGTCAAGTGGTGTCTAACCTAACAGCAAAACAACACACTATTTATAAGTTTCTTAACATAAATAAAGTAAAACATGTATTTATTTAATTTTATTACAATTATTGTTATTTTAAATGTAAATATTATATCAAGTCTTTGTCCGGACAGTTGGCTATTAAAGCCGTGTCATTGTGTAAACGATAATATCATATGCGGCGGAGAATCGGACATAAATCTATCAAAAGTCTTCACTGTATTGAAAGACAATTTGGCGGCCAATAAGAAACACTTCAAACAACTTCTGGTGAATAACACCGCTATTCAGGGATTGGAGGAAAACACGTTCAAAGACATCACATTTGACGAGATCCACATCAAAGGCTGCCGTAACT